CACAGAAAACAAATATCTCTAGTCTTTATTTCTATGACAATAGTGCTATATTTTAGATTATTTTTATGCTTAGATTTGTATTAAGTATAATTTTTTAAAACGTTCTTGGTTGGTTTTGAAATAACCAAACAATACATTATTTTTATATTCTACTACAGTATTTATAGCATTTGAAATAAATGTATCTTACTATGCTTTGCAATATTTACACTCTTTATAGTAGAACACTTACAATGCACTGTACGGATGTATTATTAAATAATCAAGTCTTAGACTCTATCTTAGAATAGAAATATATATATATAGAAAATGTATGTACTTGTAGAAATATATAGAATAGAAATATGTACACATTTCTAATTGCTACAAGGGAACTGGAAAATGACAGAAAGCAAACATCCTGTTTGTGCTGTTGGATGTTTATAACACACCCAGTGAAGACAATAGACCTGATAACGAAAAAGAGTAAACTGCTGATTTCACAAGTGCTCACATCTATTTACAGTATGCCAATTTTAGCTGTGTTTCATAAGTTTTCATAAGGAAATTTAATAAAGAAAAGGAAATTTTAGGTTTAAATAAACTTCCATGCTTCTCTTTTTTTAGGTTTGCAGTTGTCATTGGGTTGAACTTGAGGCAAAAGGCAATGACAAGAATAGGTTATGACCTGTTTTTAATTTTGATTTTTTAAAATATGTTTTAATATGCTGTTAAGGGATGACATTGTGAACTGGCTTTTTTTGGTGGACATCGTAGTGAAAACTGTTCAATTCACTGAAGCACCATGCTTTTATGTACTGTTATCCTCAGGGTAATCATCTTGATGTGACCAAGTAGAACTACTGTAAATACAAGAAATAATCTGAGCCATTTAGCATTCCTGTCGAATGCCCTTGCCTCAGCTAAGATGCATTCAAATTAAATGTCACAACCTAAAAATAATGAAAAAATATGTACAATGTGTATGTTTTACATGCACATATACAGTATAACTGTACTGTACATTCATATATAAAAAAAACATTATTTTGTAACTATTTCTCTGGGGAAAACTCAAATAATTAAAAAAAGGAAAAATGCATGAAAATGTCAGTTTATGAGTTTAAATGAGCTTAATAAATAGTATGGTAATAACTTTAATTTTGTGCCTTCCTTTTCTGCCCTTAGCCAAGTTATAATATTAGACAAATTATCATCTTACAGATACAAAACAGCAGTGGTGATAGCCCTTTGTTATGGTTACTTGTGTACTAATTATCTAATACGGGACTGATTTTTCTTTCTCTTCCTCGTTGTTAATCTTACAGTAGCTGGTGATACATGGCAATAACAACAGGTGGTTTAGGAATGCCAATAAAGGAAGGTTTAAACTGTGTAGTGGGCAATGTGATCACAACCAGTAGTGTAATGATTAATTCAGTGTCATGAATCTCTTTATCTGGTAATGACTTCTCAGATAGCAGAGATAAATAATGGCATTGGCCAAAAAACAACCTTTGGGTGAAAGGACATCTGAAAATAAACCTCTATACCTTGCATTTTCTTTTGGTTTACTTAATAATTTTGTATAATTTGTGTAATACTTTTAATTCCTTTTTCAGTGGGTGTATTTTAAATATTTTACAATTAAAAAGAGGTTGTAAAGGGCAACCCCAGTTACATTTCTTTTCTGTGATTTTTAACATTTGAATTTGGAAGGATTATTTATGCCATGTAAAACTATGAAGTACTGTAACATCTAGTCTTTAGTTACATGATGTTTATAAATGGTTTGTTACATATACTGTACATAATATATATTTGTGTACACATAGTCTAATTTTGTTGATTTAATTTTTAATATAATAAGAATTGACTAAGTTATCATTTAGCTGTTACATTTTCTTTAAGGGATTCTTTGCATATTCTTTAGATACAATAGAAAAAAAAATTGTATTTAATTTTCTTGTTTTAAATACATTGTATACCAGCTATTGTATACCAACACAGGAATTTTTGTGTTGTTAAGGTACATTATGTCTTCAAATGGCTACAGTTACCCACTAAGGTGGCTCAGCACTAGTGCTCATATCTGGGTCTCTTAATTGCCACAGTGACCAAAAACATTCACGCCAAATTCAGTTTGAACCCAGTAATCTTGCAGTTGAATATTTCTTGCTGTGACTGGAATTCCCAAGACAATGAAGTACAAATTGCTCAGTGCAACCTGGAAGAGGTTTGGGATTGGATGCCAATGATTAGGACTCACTAATCTCTGTGTCTGGTACATGCAGGAATTTTGTACAGTATCTAATGAATAGTGTGGCATGGTGGTACAATAGTTAGCCTTACTGACTCACAGTGCTGGGTCCCTGGATTCGATTCCAGACCTAGGGTGCTATCTGCATGGTGTTAGTATGTTCTCCCCATGTTTGTGCGGGTTTCTTCTCATGGTACAAAACATACTGGTAGGTTAAATTGGCTTCTGGTAAAAATTGGCACTGGTGTGAATATGTGTGTGTCTGTGAGTGCCCCCCAATGGACTGGAATCTGCTCCAGGGTGTACCCTGCCTTGCATCTTGCTTGCCAGGGTAAACTCCAGTTTCCATACAAACCTTAACTGGAAGAAGTGGTTAGAAAATGGATAGATGAATCTAAAGAACAATGGCTCAATGTGTGGACAGGATAAAGGAGAGTGCAAACAGATATATGCAGATCTAAGAAGGGTTACAAATGTGTGGACCTGTCTTAACAATCCTATTGAGCCCATAAAACCCACCAGTGAGAGCCAGGGTACAGTTGGCAAATCTTAATTTAATGTATATATAATAGCATACATTTATTTTGTTTTATTTTTTTCCTTGAAAATATGTATTCATTTACTATATATCCTAACAAAGTGTGACAGTATTACTTGCATCTTTCTAATATCTTTTTAAAAGTCTTTTTTCTGTCTCTTGGTAAACGTTTCTACAATAAATTATTTGAAATCTTTCCATTTTAGTAAAATGATTCATCAAATTTGGAAAAAAATACTCCATACCCCCTGGCTTGTAGCAATGCTTTAATGATCTCTGCTTACGCAATGTCAGTTGGGCAAGGTGGTCATTTGTCTCACAGAATGAATGAGATGACTGGTTGTGATTGGAATGTCTTTTTTCTAAAACTACAATAGTTATACACAAGCAACCAACTCCAAAACATTTAGCAAAAACAAGAAAAGAACAAAAGGGATATTTTAGCTTTATTAAAAAGATGATAAACAAAACAGATTAGGCAAAGTAGTAAAATGTGTTATGTTGTATATTCTTCCAGGATTTAGTTATTGTTTTGTTAATTTTCTAAATGTAATTTGATCCGTTAGGTTTAATTTTAGTCTACTGCAATGCTGGTTGCTCACAATTCACAAATGCACATGCAGCTGATCTGTGTAAAACACATTATGATATTTAAGCCAAATTGTATATCTGTATCCATACATACATCCAAACACATAAACAGTTTATAGACATTAATTAACCTACTGTAGCCACACCACCATGCCATTCAAGTTAAATTATATTATTATTAAAGTATCTAAAAGATAATCAGTGTTAATGTTTTAGAATTAAAGTTTTAGGTGTTTGTTGGACACAAAACTTAGAATGAACATTTGTTGTATTTGTTTCTGTTGTGAAAATTTATAAAACAATTTTTAAAAAGAACACTGAATGATCTGTTTTAGTCTTCTCCATTCCATTTGCCCAGAAGAATTTTGATTTTAATATCAGAGGCTGTATTCCTCGTGTGTTTAAGCTTTTGAGCACTGTTAGCTGAAGGTGACTAGAGATTGCCTAGGCAACCACCAGTAGACCTAGAAGGGCCAGAAAACAATGTGTAGGTGAGCAGAAAAAACATCCCACAACACTTGCCCATTAAGGAATAATAAGAGGTTACAATGATTTACAACATGGTTTAGTTAGAAAAAAAACATATACTTATTGTACTGTGCCATCTCCTGTGACGTTAATAGTAACATTCAAATACCCAGTGTGCATATTTATTTTTCTTCCAGCTGAACATGCATGGCCTCTGTAATGTAAAATCACATGTTAATTAAATAACTTATATAAAACAGATAGTGAAAGTATCCTTTATACTATATAAAGAAAGGCATGGTTTATGCAGGCATACCAATCTTTCCCTACTGACTCTTCCTACATAGTGTATATTGGTAATTTGTGAAAAATTAATCTTATTCACCTGCTCATAGAAACAAATAAACCTCAAGGGCATACAATTTCAAAACATTTTTCTTTTCATTTAAATCCTTGTAACCTCTTACAACTAAAGCTTGATTTGTGTTTTTAATTTGCTCATAAGTCCTTTTTAGTGTAAGCCTCCTTGTGTTTTTCATGTAGTCTGATTAAATTTCACGACAAAAACAGTGATTGTTTTTGGCCAAATGGTTTTGTGTCCCAAAGTGCTCACTGGTTTCAGTATTCCTGGAGAATTCATGCATCATATACAGTATGAAATATTTCAACTCCAGAGTATTATATTTCTTATCCAGATTAAATTTAAAAATCTGTTAAAATTCATTAGGCTATTGTGAAATAATATTGCTATATTTTGTTTGGATTTTTTTCACTAAGAAGGAGGAAAGTCTTTGCAAGAGGTAAAAAAAGCTTTGCTAAAACCATTACGGGGGTAAATGATGTCATAAGAATGTGATAATAGATTGCCAAATGTCTTTTAGTTTGAAAAAAAACAGTAAAAAGTCATTTGTTGCTCTTATACAATAAAAGTTAAAATTAATTGCTAAATATTTTATTCATAATGTTTATTTTTTATTTTACCTTCTGCTGTTTCTGAATACATGATTAAGATGCAATATAATAAAATTAAATAAGTAGCCTTTATAACTTCTGTTTCAGAACCACAAATACATTTCTCAAAGTTAGATCTTCTTTACTCATGTTGTAAGAATTGTGCATTGTATGTCTGTAAGCTTATTTATTGTTGTTGCTTTTTTATTTCAGATCAATATTTCTTAATTGTTGGTTCAGTACTGGACCAAAGATGGGCAGATGTTTGCTGGTTTATCTGTCATTTATAAGCTCTGTCACACAGGTAATGTTTATTCTTTTTTGTTGTTTTTTTTTCTTAACATTTTAATTCAATAATATAAACAGAGAAGAACATTTGTACCACTTCTAGTTCAGGAACTTCGGTTGAGTGATTCTTACAACACAACCATATTTCAAAAACTGCCTGTATTCCATATTAAACTCAAGTGTATGAGCAAACTACATAACTATAAGTTATGTTTAGAAAGGCCAGGATCCAGCATTGCTGACCCTTCCAGCATACAACCTGAGTTTCTTACATTTTTAGTGGTCTGTTCTGTTCTTTTAGATCCCTTCAGGATCCTAACTGTTGGGCATTAGTCCCCTCTCTGGGAAGACTGCACAATCCCATTCCTTCTTTTCTGGTCTTTCTTTGGCTTTACTCACACACGCTCTTCCCATTCAATAGAGCTTCTCACTAACTCTTCACACTCTGTCTTCATTAATCACAAAGCAGTATGACTGATCCTATTTGGCCAGGGACCCCTTACTGTAACAAACACATCTGTCTCTGACGTAGCATCAGCTGTGGGGTGTGGAGTTTCCTCTCTCCCTTTTATTTCATTTCTGAATCTGTCCATCTTTCTGCTGAGGATAAGAAGCAGGATGTAAAGCAGGAACTCAACCTATGCCATCTAAACTCGCCTTTCTCTCATTCTATGGGGAGAAGACTTATTGCCCTTCATCCTGGATACCAGTGGGCCTTATTGACCAAGAGACACTGTGTTTTGCTATTGCTCTTTTTACAGTATAATGCAAGTTTGTACTTGGCAAAGAAGAAAGAATGTAAATAACTTGTTTAACCTGAACTGAATTAATAACACAGAAATAGAAATATTATCCAATATGATAGAAATTGTTTGAATGTTTTTGTGGAGTTTGTGGAGCTTTAACCTTATTTTCCAATTTTACAAAAAGATTACATGTTATAATGACTTAATAGAGATTGATGTAGTTAATGAGATAACAGATCTTAACAAATATGTTCAGTGTCTAACAAACCAAAGCACAAGCTGTTCTGTTTGCTATACCTTTGAGCTAATGACATTCACATAAAGAATTGGACATTTTGAAACTACATAGTCTGATCAGTTATGCAATCACAAGTATCATGTAAATCTCCTGTAATTAAGAGAGGTTTGGAGTACAGCCCTACTTTGTCCCTTTCCTGTGTTCTTAAACAGGATGTGATAAATTGTCCTGTTACTTTGACCTTTGGGTATTTAGAAAATAACAATCCATAAACCTATTGAGTATTAAAACATTCTTGTGTTGCTTATACTAGGCACGGTTAAATAGTTAGCCAGCAGATTTAACCCATAAACATCAGCACAGTGCCAGGCTTAAGTTTCCAATTTTTTTGCAAACTGAGACACAGCAGTACAATAGGGATAGAGGTGGCTGTTATCCAACTAACTAATGTTCTGTTGTTTGCATACAGACAGAGGCATGAATATATGATTCCAAGAGCCTTTCTCTAACTCAACACATACTGTTCTTTTTGCCCATCACTCTCTCTGTTCCACCTTAACTCAGCAGATTTCCCAGCTTCCCTGCCCTCTTTATCACTACCCCAACTGCTACCATCCTTGAATACCAGCTGAGCTCTACCCAGCTAAGTCAGCAGTCTAATGATCAAACCTAATGTTTAAATTGGCATCACCCATAATATTAGAAACCATGATGTTATGTCAAGTTAAAATAGAAGGGAATCAAATTCACAATCAAAGCACCTCCATGAAGTAATATGTGATGTGTATTGTAACTTAATTACCATTTTAATGCATTACCACTCCCTTTAATGGACAGGTTACACACTGTGCAGTGGCTACAGTTTCCTGTGGGTCTACAAACAACAAGGTCCGGCAGCATATACTGTATAATCAGACATCATTTAGTTTGTAAAGAAGATGCTTAATGTGATGTTTTGTACAGTGATATGAAAATTCACATCACCTTGCCATATTTATCTTTTTTTTTACCAGCTATTGGTGTTTGCAAACACAGATGTTAATGAAACTCAGGAAGATGAAGAGAACCACGTGTATAGCCCATTCGGAATCACCAGGAATAAGATAGTGACGGCACAGTTTGAGTGTTACCAGAAAATCATGAAAGATAATGTTCACAATACAAATGGTAATGTTTTAAACATAATCCCTGAGTTTTTGCCTTTCAAGATCAATGCAAAAGCATTATTTTGTTTAGCATTAAAAACATTTTCTGGTCACAGCAGTACTTGCTTACAATTCTCTATTCAAAATTTACTTTCATCCAAACATTTTTTAGTAGACATTTTATGCAAGCTAATTTGACCAAAAGTGACTTACAGTATATTTGCACCTATTTATACAGGTGGGTATTTTACCGGGACAATTCAATTTACTTTCTCAGTGGTACAAAAAGCAGTGCCCACCTGGGATATGAACACACAATTATCTAGTAAGAAATCTAATCACTTGCTAATCTGTTTCTTACATTTCAGAGCTGAAGTAAATGATTGACCCAATCATTTTCTTCTATTACTTTTGTATCAGCTTTCATATTAAATGTGCTATGTAGGTCTATTTAGTCTCTTAGAAAACCTTGTAACTATTAATAGGCAATGACAAGGCCTTAAGGTAATTTTCCTGTGCTGCATTAGCAGCTATTTGTTGCAAATATTTTGTACTGTATTTCTTAGGTTGAAATTCACTTTTTATATTGGAAACAGTCTCCTATATAAAGCAATACTTCAAATGATACAAGTAGGAATTTATAGACAATATTTTTAGTTTTACTATAATGTTTTTCAGACAATATGGATTAATATTATAGGACAAATGTTGGACTCTGAAAGCTATATCTAATACATGCTATTGAATAAGAAGTGTGAAAGGTATCAAACAGCAGTATTTATTTTCTATTTGAACCCCTATTTTGAAGTGTTTCCTATACAAGGGGCTGATATTGTTCAAAATGTCATAATATCCACCCATGTTTCTGTCAGTGACTTACTTCAATTTACTGTAAGTCCTAGCCTTTCAAAACAGCAACACCACAAAAACTAGAACAAATCAGGAAGCTCATTTAAAATAGTCAATAAAAAGAAAGCAAATATTGCAATGTAATTCAAAGTTGCTGCTAACGATGTTTGGATTGTTTTGCATGACACTTCCCCGACAATGTTTTGTGTTACCACCACAGAACCCACATGTAAAAGCACATGGGATGGATGGCTATGCTGGGACGACACCCCTGCAGGAGTCACTTCAGAACAGCACTGTCCTGACTATTTCCAAGACTTTGACCCTTCAGGTACATTTCAAATTCTCTGTGTCCAAGCAAAGCCTTGTCACCTCATTATATAGCTGCATTGTGTCATCCATGCCTTTTCATCAATCAGAAAGCAAGACTATAATCTCTCGCTTTCCCATTTTTTTATTCTTAAATGTGGCCAAACAAACAGTAGACACCACAAAAGCAGGAAAATCTAGGCTTTTTACAGGCATGCTTTTTGTGGCAGACCTTAGTTGCTTCACTGCATCGGGCTGCAGTTTTTGTTTTAACTGTGCTAGAGGCAGTCTGGGGGTTTACTTGATTAGCATTTTTACTGTGCATATGACCTTCTAACCGTGTTAACTTTAAAAAGCTGAAGATCAGGGAGGGCATTGAGTAGTTATCACAAAAGTCATAAGTTTACTGGAAATGATGGGCTAGTTTCCAAACTTCATTCCAGTGGTTGCTTAGATACCAATCAGGATATACAGTAATTAAGCTATATCTATAAATACTAGACGAATCCCTCGTTAGCTGTTACCTACGATACAAGATAACTAGAAAAATCTTACTACCACACAAAACACGCTACCAGCGACAGCTATCTCCTTCCACAATAATGTCACTGTTTTTTTATTTATTTTGCTTCAGAAATGGTAACGAAGATCTGTGATCACAATGGGAATTGGTTTTTACATCCAGAGAGCAACAGAACATGGACAAACTACACAAGGTGCAATGAACGCACTAGTGAGAGAGTGCAGGTTTGTTTCTCAGTTCTTAAAATTACAATTCCCAGATCTTATAAACACAAAGAGAGCCGTGGTTCATTTAGAATGTCATTTTTGCTTCTGAAAGTACAGCATATGATTGAGGCTAACAAAGGTCTTTGAGACTTATTTTACGACAGAGTTTAACATTTCATAATGGTTAAAATCTACAGTAAGATACTGTATTACATGTGGCTTTTAACCAAAACAGATTTCAGATTGCAGAAAAGCAGAAAAATAGTTATTACAAGCATTTTGATTGTTATGAAGATATAAATCTTTTTTTTAATATGTATGTTATTCAGAAGCTGCTTATTTTCAGTTTTTTATGGTTTTATCTGCAGACAGCATTGAATTTATACTACTTGGCTCTAATTGGACATGGATTGTCATTAGCATCATTGTTCATTTCATTGGGGATATTCTTTCATTTCAAGTAAGTATTTGAAAATTGTATCATTACTTTAATAAAGCAATATTTTTAAATTAATATAATATATTCATACAGTATGTACTGTGTCAAAATCCGGTTTTGGTAAACTTGGTAAAGTACTCCTGTGCCTTTGTAAGCCCAAAAGTCCTAAAATCCATTCTTAAAATAACAGTAATGCAGCGTTGATGTTAGATGGGCATGATATAACATTTGATATTGAAGACAATTTAAGATAATTTAAGCAATACAGTGTGACAAGATATTGACTTTAGTATTGATAAATATACATTACATTATTTTCCAACAGAGTAGAAATGTTATTATGTCTTGATATACTATACAAGGAAATTTAAATAAATGGATAATCAAGTGCACAAATATATTTCTGATGATTTACAAGTTAATTTTCTTTCTTTCTGTTTCACTAGGAGTTTAAGTTGCCAAAGGATAACTCTGCACAAAAATCTGTTCTTTTCCTTTGTTTTAAACTCCATCATCACTGTCATTTGGTTTACAGCAGTGGCTAACAACACAGAGCTTGTATCAAGAAATCCTGTGAGTAAATTAGTAATATTGGTTTTGGTTACTTCCCACAAAAATGAAGCATGTTCAGCAAGAACATATGGCTAAAAACAACATTTTAGGATCTCAACCATTAAAGGTAATCATGCAGGTCACATACTAAAAGTCTTCAGATAAAATTCATTGACGTACTGTAGCTAATGAATAGTGCCAAACTGGCCAAGAGCACTTGAGCTTGGATGGCTCTGAGTCCTAGAGCTTTGTAAAGCTTTGAGTATCCTCAGATTGCTTTACAGCAGTGACCCCTGTGGCTTGGCAGGTGCTTGTGACCTTGCAGTGTTTCAGTTAATTTGTTCTCTTTCTGACAATTTAGCACTCCTGTTGGTGTTGTAGGCTCTGTATGTTAAAAATGAGCACTCATATTGGTGTTGTAGGCTCTGTATGTTAAAATTGAGCACTCATGTTGGTGTTGTAAGATCTGTAGGCTAACAGGATATTAAACTGAGCCTGTAGGCTCACAGGATGATACATATGCGTGGATGCCTTAGAGGTTTTAAATCTCTTATGTTCAAGCACAAGGATATCTGCAGTTAATTAAGTTAATTAAGAATTACCGGTTTTGGAGAGAGGCAAAGTAGAGTCAATTCTCAAATTAAGAAGAAAAATTGAGTAATATGTCAGTGGATAAGTACAGGAAAAATACATTGTCTGTCTATTCAATCCATCCATTTTATAGCTGATTCTTCCAATTCTGGGGATCTGGACCCTATTCCAGCAAGCAACAGGTGCAGAGCAGGATACACCCTGGACAGGACACAAGTCTAATGCGGAACTGACAGACACAAACACAGTTGTTCACACCAGGGCCAGTTTTCCAATTAACATTAATTAATTAGCAGCCAATTAACAGTGCAGTATGTTTTTGAAGCTTGGGAGGAAACCGGAAATGGGGAGACCATACAAACTCCACACAGATAGCATCCCAGGAATTGAACCCCAGGCCCCCAGCACTGCGAGGCAGCAATGCTAAACACTGCACCACTATGCTGTCACTACTTATTCTTGAAATTTAAATACCAAATACATTATCCAGTGAAGTGAAGTTATGCTTTTCTCAATTAGTATTTTTATATGAGAGTTAAACAGGTTACAACCTGTTCTTTTTTCTGAATAGCAGAATAGTCTCTGGCCTTCCATTGACCTCACCAGGATAGGCTTATTGATATTGAATGGATATTACATTAATGGGTTACTGACAAATACAGTATATGGGTTGAATACAAGTGTTATTCTGTCAGTTTTTTGGATGACCTGTTATACCTTTAAGAAGCATCCTAATCTGAGAATACTGTCGTTTTAGCTAAGCTGCAAAGTGTGCCAATTTATTCAGCTGTATCTGTTTGGCTGCAATTACTTCTGGATGCTATGTGAAGGAATATACCTCCATACTCTCATTGTTGTGGCAGTGTTTGCAGAGAAGCAACACTTGATGTGGTACTATCTTCTTGGATGGGGTAAGATAAGACTTCTGTTTGGCTTTTTAGTCAGATAGTACCTGTTTTTTTCTTTCCTCTGATATTAATGTCATTCCCTTACATTTACTGACTTGCTTAAGAAGTTGTTATACAATAAGTGCTTTCTGATGTAAAATTAGTTGGTTAACTGAGATAGCAAACTCCTTTCTGGATCATACAACATAAGGAAAAATATTTCCTTATGCTGGATGATGTCATTACAGTTTTTTCTATATAAAAATGCAAATGATATTGCACAATTTATATATATATAGTTTCGTGAATACCTCTTTTCCTCTTTTTTCCTAAATTATAATAATTGTAATAATTATATTGTATATGTAAAACCTTTTATACATGAAGATGTATAAAGAAGAAGGTGACTGCAGATGTATAGTATACACATGTGTATCCTGCATAAAGAAACACAACAGTCCTAATATTAGAATAAATGTTCACATTTAAATATTTTTACCTTACATTACACATTACATAGCACTAACCAATGTACCTATTTTAGTCTAATTCTGTTAATTCTTGTTGAAAATGTTAGAGCTTACACACTGTAACAAAATGTAAAAATACATTCAGAAATTTGTGAAGTTTTCTTGTGCAAAGATACTGCTTCCTGCATTATAAAAGGTGCACTGAATGGGTGTATTTAATAATAACTCTTTAACCAAGGCCATGACTCACTGAAACAGAGGCAACACACTGTGGGAATACCAACTGACACTTATATGTACTGTACGTGCAAATACTTAACATCAGCTGAACCTGTTCTAAAATGTTCTTGTCAGAAACTTATTAACAAATGGTAAAAGGGTGGCAAAGCCATATATAATATAAGCCAAACTCTTTTTATTATTATAAGTATTATTATAATGACAGTATGACAATCATAATAATGGGTTGAAATGCAATGCTTAATGGACAGACTACCTTAAACATATTTTCTATCTGATACAAGCTAATTTTATATTTTTTTCCCCAGGATTTCCATTGATTCCAGCCTCCATACATGCAGTAGCTCGCAGTTACTACCATAATGATAAGTAAGTTATTTTCCTTTTCCTGTTTCATTTGCCATAAGCAAATATAAAAACGCTGTACATACTTGTACAAATTCACTACAAGGACATTTCTGAATCGATTAACTTAATTTCCCAGTTTTCAAGAAGCTTACTAATGCATTTATCAATATACTGTACAATGTTTATTTTAACAAAATAGCATGCACAATAAAACTTTTTCTGTAAAATGAATTAACAGGATCACCTGTTCTGTGAATTTGACAGGCCAAAAAGACAGGCCTTCAAAAATGCCATAATCTACAACTGTGATTTGAGATATATATTGTACTGTAATGTGTCTTATCAATTACCCAACATCATCACTGACATCAATGAATGACCTCAGTGTCTTCCTTACATATTTTTTTGAGGCAAGAAAATATAGATTTGTATTTACCATCTTTTTATTTAAAAACTCGAATCGAATCTCCTTCTCTCACCCTCCACCCTGGTACAATGACCATCTGCAATTCATGAAGGCAGCCTCTCGCAAACTTGAGCGTAGGTGGCGTCTTTCCGGCCTAAATGTACATTATCAGGCCTGGAGAGATTACTTATCTGATTATAAGGTCACTATAGAGTCTGCTAGATCCACCTGCGTCTCTCACATCATTGAAAATCACCAAAACAACCCCAGACATCTTTTCTCCACCATCAACAGACTGCTCAAGCCAAACTGCCCTACCACATTACCTGCCTCATCACAACTTTGCAACACATTCTTAGATTTCTTTAGTTCTAAGACTGACAACATCCGGCATCACATTCTCTCCACTACGGATATCATTTCCATACCTCCTCATCCAACTTCTCTGGTTCCCGTCTCTCCAGCTTCTCTCTTCTTGACTCAGCATCCCTAAACAAACTAGTTACG